GCAGCACGTGTTGGGAAGCGGGCCCAACGTCCCTTATTAAACTCAGTTGGGGCCGGGGTCCCCACAGTCTACCCGGTAAAGGAAGGCCTCCGTACTTGGAATGGAGAGCTCACGAACAAGAGTCTCGGAGAGTGGAGAGCTAGTCCAGCGGTGAGGCAAAAATAACGATTTCGGAGAGCTTTTCAGCTCTCCGTGCACTCTCCAATTTTCCGGAGAGTGGAGAGTAGTGCAGCCAGACCCAAAGGATGGAATTGCATTTCCCGCGTACCTTCAGCGAATGGCATTTCTTCTGTTGCCACTGCCATCTCGCGTATCCTTCACACACAAAATTCAGCATCCCTTTGCCAGAAACAAAAAAGAGGAAATTCAGCATCCCGCCAGTTGTCCAGCGTTTCTTCGTGCTCATACCCTTGTTAATGACTTACCACGTGCCACCCTCCAAAAAAATAAGGCAAAAACGGAAGGGCCACTTTTCTTTTTTGGACCATTTCTCGACTTATGCCTGTCACCATTGCGCAGGGGCCATGCTAATCTTCACTGTACCGGATGTCCCGCAGGAGTGAGAGCCCACTACCCAGGTATTTGGATATGTGTGACCGTGTGACGGGTGTGGGACGGGTGGGGGACAGGTGGGTGGCAGCGTGAAATAGGGAAAATAAATGCAAAAAATAGTTTCATGACCAAATGAATGAAGAAACAAAATCTAAAAAAGAAAAGAAAGTGCTCTTCTCACAGATGATGTCTGCTCCAGCCGGGGTGTCAGATGTCAGGTTATGATTCATAATTCATTGACCATGGCTGTGGCAGTTAAGATGACTGCACGTGAGCGGCCACGCGGAACAGATTCATGACAATAGTCTGAGGCTTACGTGAAATGGGCTGCAGTGCACACTGCTCGGTAGTTCTGACAGAAATTCTCTTTGGCAAAGGCGAACAAGAGTTACTCCATACACGGCCATTTGCTGTAGGTGAGGGGATAGAATCCTCCCGAACACCTCCCTGACCACAATCACCTCTGCCTGTCTTCATTGCATGGCCAATGCATGAAAATCATCACGAAATAAGTCGTTATACTCACGTTTTGGACCCCAAGAGGAACCCCAAGAGGAACACTTATTGAAAAAGAAAAGAAATACCACCCAATGGAAGACTCCCAAAACACACATATGTCCCGGCGCGTAAATACAAATAAAAGTACACCGCAGATATCCAGTCCGACCCAGGGTGCTTCGGAGTCACACAACCTACTACTTCAGATAGGGCCTTGCCGGACGGCGGACGGTGCAAAAAACTAAACGAAACGACCTTGAAACTCGCGAGGCCTCGCAAGACCGAAAATCACCGTTTCGTTTCGTTTGTTACACCACCTCCGCACAGCACACGGGAAATCGCTCGCGGAAACGGCCTGACGACTGTTGAGGTGCCTGACTTCCGCAAATGCCCATTTTTTTTGGACGGACATCCCTTGGACCGACGTGCTGCATCCCTTGGACGGACGTGCTGCACTCGCGTGGATTCGCAGCTCCACCAGCAAACCTTTGGAGGACCTACGACTTCACGCGATTTACAGGCGGGGATGGCAGAGGCTCATGCTTACACTCGCGAACTTGAACTCCGTCATCAATCGCGAGTTTTCTCTGACAGGATCGAGGGTGCTGTGCGGCGAAACGTTCACCAAACGAAGTAGTTTTTTTTTTCGTGTAGCGTGCCGTCCGGCGAGCCCCATACATTGGTAGTGGGATCTCCCTCCTGGACTGGGAAGGCCACTCGACTTCCGTCGCCCCCGCAGTACAGTTTCTTTTACTGTTTTTTCGGAGCCGCAGGAACCAAGAAGAAAAGCGACTTTGTTTTTCTCGTTCCATCATCAGGATTTGAACACACACGCATCCAATTATTGACACTTATTAGGTCTTACCATTCGGCCATATGGGCATGGTTGCCCAGTTGCATGGTCGGGACTCCACATATGTTTGTGTTTTTTTTGTCAAATTTTTATAAGTGGATAATTTGCCAAATACCCCATAATTTGAGATATATGTCGAAATGCCCCTACAAGATGTGGGTAGAGCGGAATGCCCCTCTGACAAAAAAAACAATTCGTGAAATGCCCCTGCTGTCGGTTGGACCCACATCTTTGCAATATACCCCTACCGGGTACGGTCCAACTTTGCAAAACGCCCCAGTACTTGCCAACTTTTCCTAGACGCTATTGCAAAAGGCCAAGGCCCAAACGGGGAGGTCCAGAGTGCAAAGTTGCACACGTGCCTGACAGGGGCACAACACAAAGATTTTGGGCCAAACAAAAGGGTATCGTTCATGGCCATTTTGGCATATATTTCAACTTATGGGGGTATTTTGCAAATTTTCCTTTTATAAAAGCTTCGGTACATTCGTCTGTCAATTTCACCACCTTTTTTTAAGCTTCTTTGGCTACGTTCTTCTCTCAATTTCATCTACACGTGAAAGGCCATCCCCGTCCTGTTTAAAAAAGAATTGGCAAAGGGTCTCGCCACTCTACTCCCAGAACGTGCGAAATGGAGCATGCATATTCCGCAGGAACATTGAAAGATGCACCCGCCATAGGTTTTGTCTTTTTCTCATTGTGGGAGTTGTGTTGCGATCCCCAAAGCCCTGGGGCTCAAAAGTGTGCGAAATGGAGCATGCATATTCTGCAAGAACATAGAAAGATACACCCGCCATAGGTTTTGTTTTTCCTCACTGTGGGAGTGGTGTTGCGATCCCCAAAGCCATGGGGCTCAAGAGGATTGAAGGTTGGAAAGGCTGAAAGTCAGCAGCAGGGAGTAGCAGGGAGAGGGGAGAAGTAGGAAGCTTAGAGGCTCGCCACACAGGCTGTCGAAACCACAATTTTTGACAGTTTTGCACCGCCACATAGGCTGTCGACGAAATCCTTTTCAAAAAATTTTCGACATGTGTCAGGTTTGTGGTTTCGACAGCCGTGTTGAAACTCTCGTCTCCTCCCGCCTGCAGCTCAAGGATCTTCGACAGTGCGCCGCCGTCCTGTCGAGAAATGCCTCCCATTTCCCATTGTCAGGGACAAATCCCTGACATGTGTGCCGTTTTTGTCCTTGTGTGAAGTTGTCTTCGACAGTGGCTGTCGAAAATGGCTTCGACTTTTTTTTTTTGTGGTGGTGTATCTGGCCATGTTTCATCGCCGTGTCCATCGTGAAACGCGTTGGCGTAACAACTCCCGACAGGCGACCTCCTTCGCCACACAGCAGCTGTCGAAAACCGAGTTGCGCTTCACGACTTTCGACAGCCTCTCCCCTCGACAGCCTGTGTGGCGAAGGGGGGGGAAACTGTCGAAAGTCGGGCTGTCGAAAATTTCCTGACAGCTGTCGAAAATTCTCTACTTTCGACAGCCTGTGTGGCGAGGCCCTTAGTGTCACGAACCAGGTGTACTCGGTTCCAGTGAGCAGCCACAGGAGGTTGCGACGGTGGGAGGAGGGAGAGTGCCAGATATCTTAGAAGGAACAATGTTCCTCCCGGCCGTGTTAGGCCGGGTTTCGGACCAACAGGTAGGTCTGTGTATAGCTTAAGGTAGGATAGGCTGGAGTAGGAAAGCTTTGGGAGAAAGGGGAAGTAGTAGGAAGCAGTAGGACGATAACAGGGATTAATAGCACAGAGTGATGATAGCGCGTAGGAGAGTAGGTTCCAGTACTTGGGCGACGCCTTAGCGTTAACGCTACGGGAATTTTGCTACCGGCGGGCCGTCGATAAATCGTATAGACAGCCCGCACCGCTTCAAAAAAGGTGCCGCCGGCGCAGCGCGCAGTGCCCAAGTACTGGTGGTTTAAAAGATTCATGAAACATTCTTTGTGGAGTTAGACTTACATAAGCTAAACCGGCTGATGCTGCCGGGATAACTCCGGGTTGAATTGTGAGGTCCCCGGCCTCAAGCTCTTATATTTGGAATATGAATTCTGTTTTACTCAAAAAAAAAAAAAAATTCTTTCTCGCCTTTCGCTACCTTCCTACCACTACTCCTAAGACTATACAGAGGGGACCGCTGCAAGCATAGGGCCTCGCAAACGAGGTAATTCATGTTGCCCCCCCCCCCCAACAGCGGTCGTCAGCGATGGGGAATGAAGATTAGCATGGCCCTTGCACAAGGATGACACGCGTATATCGGGAAAAAAAAACAAAGAAGGCTCCGTCGTACGGCGGGTAGTGGTTCACGCCGCTTCCCGCACAATGTGCGACCAAAATTTCGCGGGGAAAATCGTAAAACCTCCCTGCGACGAAACGTTTCGATACAGAGAATGAAGATTAGCATGGCCCCCGCGCAAGGATGACACGCTTTTGAAAAAAATAAAAATAAAATTAAAATTAAAAATTTACGGTGGAGGTACGCGTCGCGCCCTCTTCCTCCCCGCCATCTACTCCTATTCCCCATTCCCGCCGCCGTCTTTTCCAATTCCCCTTTCCCTTCCCGCCCTCTTCGACCGCGGCTTCATGGCCCTCTCGTCGGAGAACAAACTGGGACTGGGAACACAATCTCTACAAACTACAAATATCGCGGATAGCCTATACTCTAAGCAACATCACATGCAATTCCATAGGCGTTGCAGCGTCGTGTCACAGCGTCACAGCGTCGCAGTGTCACAGCGTCACAGCGTCGCAGTGTCACAGCGTCACAGCGTCGCAGCGTTACTCTGCCCTAACTTCAATTCAACCGGAATTGATTGATTGATTGATAGCAGTAGGTACTGCCGGAATTGATTGATTGATAGCAATAGTTCCATTTCTCGATTTATGCGTGTCATCCTTGCGCAGGGGCCATGCTAATCTTCTCTTTCTCTGTATCGTTCCAATTTTGACGGATGTAACCGAAGGACATTGATAGCAATAGTTACTGTACTACCTGTAGACTGCGGTAGTGCCCCGACGCGCCTCGTGCAGCTTCCATGTTCTGCTGCTGTCCCATCTTCAGCAGCAGTTTCATCGACGGCTGCATCTTTGCTTCCGTGCTATTGCCTCTTCCTGTGTCCCATAAAGTAAAGTATAGAAGTTAATAGAACCCCATTGAATCGATTTCGGACGCACGCTTGCCAGGTATACCCTGTGTCCTTTGAGAAATTTCGACAATCGCTCGACCTTGATCCTCTTCAGGAGCTTTCACATTGGGTCATTGCGGTATGTATAAAGCGGCAATCACGACCAGTTTCGGTTGAGAAAGTCGGCCGTCCAAGCTCGCAGTCAGCACCTCCCCTTGCCACGTCGGTTTAGTCGCGCTGGGTACAGCAAGGGGTGTGCGTACTCAAACTCGCATTTTTTTCTGGATTTAGTTAATAACCGACGTTGGTACCGGGGGGCGTTCAGTCGCGGCAGCCCGAGTGTGTCTATGCCCTGAGACTCGGTCGGTCACACCTTTCTTCTCCTTTCCGTTGCCCTCCTTTGCACACTAAGGGCATACTCACACCAGCACCTTTTTTTACTTCTTTACGGACGCAATTGCGGTCAGATTCATCCATGTCTGGCCGTAAATGCGGTCAGATTCATACAAGATAGAGATAGTGCGAGTACGCCCTTATGGGACTTCCCCGTTGATAGGTTGCCAAATTGGGAACTGGCGATTCTGATCGATTTGGAAGGTATCGTTTTAAAGGGGTGACTCCGTCGGAGATTGATTTCTCGCATCAGATTGGTGCACCCCCCCCCCCCTCCCCTCTCCTTCCGTCATCGCCCTCTCCATCCCTACTTCCTTTCCCTCTCCTTCCACCAGAGAGATTCATGCAGGTCTGGCCGTAAATGCGGTTAGATTCATACAAGATAGAGACAGTGAAGTGTGAGTACGCCCTAATGGGACTTTCCCGTTGATGGGTTGTCAAATTGGGAACTGGCGATTCTGATCGATTTGGAAGATTATTTTAAAAGGGTGAATCCGTCGGAGATTGATTTCTCGCATCAGATTGGTGCCTCCCCCCTCCCCCCCCTCCTCCTCTCCTTCAGCCATCGCCCTCTCCATCCCTACTTCCTTTCCCTCTCCTTCCCACCCCAGAGCTTCTGCCGGTCAGAGTCATTTGAACTCTCTCGACTCGCGATTCGCGATTCGCTTGGGATTTTCTCCCATCAGATTGATTTCTTTCTCGAATCAGATTGATTTCTGATTCGACGAATCAGATTGATTTCTTTCTCGAATCAGATTGATTTCTTTCTCGAATCA